AGACAGGCATCACATGTAATTACCCTGAGCATTTGCCACTCAGCGAAATACACTCAAGGTCTTCCCACTGGGGATGTTTATGTGATACTGTGGACTGGGTTAGGCCTGAAAAAGAATAGTTGTGGTGTACACCCCATCCCAACCGCTCCTTCCCTCTCCTTGACCTACCCTTTGTGGGAAGCCAGGAATGCTAAATATTTCTTGTCGTTCTGCCCAGACCTTTACTTTATTTACACTCCCCCTGCTCCCTGGCCACAACCCTGTCTCTTCCCGTAGCAGCTCAGGAGTTTGAGCTGTGGACCGACTGCATTTTTTATTTGAGATGATACATCAAAGGTGTTACAAATACAGACAGATGCAAGCATCAAATGATGGCGGTTAGTCAGCAAACCATGCCCTGGCAAGGAAAATACACAAGTCCCGTGTAACAGACTTCCTTCCTATTGACAAATAGCATCAAAGTTTCTAGGCTAGAGATAAAACAGCTTTTTTCATCAAGGAAAATAAGAGCACCAGTCACATGCATACAGAATGAACAAGAGGTGGAAGATGACTAGGAAACTTACTGAAAAACCCCACGGGGCACTTTGTGTGTTTGTTTTCTGAAGGGCAAAATTAAGCCCTTAGAGCAGGTCTTTCATTTCTTGGTTTCTTTTCTAATTCTAGAATCTCCTGCAACCACATGGGAAGTCAAGTGGGAATGTGACTTCTGTAGTTATTGCTACACAGTTGAGGACATTTTCTTCAAGTCTATTTTGCTCTAAAATATACCCTCAAAATCATTTCCAGGCAGTGTAACCCTGGAGGTGGAGCCTTGGGAAAGCTATAAATGTTTCAAGGACTCAGTAATTGCAAACCTACTAGACAGAACAGGCTGACATCCTAAACAGGTCTCCTCCCACTAGCATGGCCATGTGTCCCCACTTGTCCAGAGCCAGCTCCACTTAAGGCCTGCTGACCTGGCATGCTTACCAATAGTGCCCTCTTTGGAAAGTAGTTTGGATAATAGATCAGAGTCATCCTGCCTTTCACCAAATGTGCCATTTGTGATATCCATTTCAAACATTTTGTTCAAATAGACCAGCTGGTCTGGCAGTGGGCTTGCATCTCCTGAGGGCAGGGATGACATTTAAATATGGCTTGGTGGCACAGTTGTCTCAGAAGTCACAATTTTGCTTATTCCTTGGAGCAGGTCCTTAGTTTTGCACCCTGTGGCTGCTGCAAATGAGATAGACCTCTACTTGAGAACAGAAGGCTCTAGATCCCTTCTGCTCTCTGTCAAGTCCACAATCTCACCAATGTGTCCTCCCCATCAACACCTGCAGAGAGATAGGGATTCTGGTAGCCGAATCAGGGCTGCCCTTCCCCGATTTCCTTTCCTCACCAGGATGGGTGGAGCATCTCTTGTTAGAAAGAAAACACCACTGCCTAACAGACATCTATCAGCAAATGTCAACGACATATCAGAGAGTTCAGCTTTGACCTTACTGTTTGCCCAGTCCATTAAATTCTTGTCAGTTCTATGTGAGTACTTGGCTGTGGGAGGAAGGTTGGAGAGGGGGAGAGGAACAGGGAAGGGGTGGATTTATGGCTGTGTCCTTGATTCAGGGCTCAAGAATTGCACTAAATATTTGCCTAGTGAAGGTGTGAATAATTACATTGGTGAGGAGTATTTTTTTCCATTTTCTTTTTTTTAACTTTAAAAAGCAAAACAGAAAAATAAAGGATAAAAATGACACAGAATTTCAAAAAAGAAAAAAGTAGGGAATGAATACTAGTTAATATATTGTATATTGTTATCTCAGAACTAGTCGTTCAGGTTACAAAAGCTAGACACAAAAGTGATCAGTCAGTCAATAACAGCACAAACTGTTCTTTTGGATGAACTAAGAGAGATTAGTAGTGTAGTTATCTATCTAGCATACATATACATATATTTATATATGCTTATCAACATACATACAATCTTCTCCTTTCTTCTTTTTTCCTTTCCCCACTCTCAATTATTACTAATACACTAGTTTTGCTTATTTTTAACAAAAAAATATAGTTACCTATACACTCATTTCCAGGCATTTTTCCTGGAGCGTCTCTTTATTCAGTGTGTGTGTATGTGTAGGTGGGTGAGTGTCTGGGTGTGTGGGTGTGTTTAAATGGAGCTAACTTTAAATGTACTTGGTAATGTTCTGTAAGATTGCACAATGGCTCTTTAACTTATATGGTCACCAAGACTTGAAGGGCAAAAGACAAATAGAACATCTATTATTAAGACTTGACTTGTCAAGTCTCACTCTTAGATTTGGGGTGACACTGCACAAGAGATAGTTTTGAACTCTAAAACTAAAAAGATAAATAAATGAAGTAACACATTATTTCTCCAATCTAGTTATAGACATTCGTTTGTACTACAATATTTAAATAAGGTAAGATAGAAATGCACTGAGCATTAAAATGTGGGTACGTCATTCCACCCTATTTATTGCGTATATTCATAAGCTGATAGTTACAAAGAATATTTAGAATTTAAAATTTATCAATAGACTTTAAAACTATTTCTGCCTTTTGAAATTCTCTTTGGAAAAACTGTCTTTACACAGACCCTGAACTAATCCAAAGAATGAACACGATGGGAAAAGCAGAAATAAAACTCAAATAGTAATCATTGATTGATAGACTAGACAAACTGAAACCCAAATTTTGGAAAATAACTAGAACAGTGCATTGTGTAGTACATTGCTTTGAATAGCACTTTATGCATCTTCTTTGCCAGATGCTTTATCATTTATTATCTCTTTTGTTCCCAAAATGCCTCCATGTACTTGCTATGTAATTCGAGGCACCCTGCTGCTTAGAGGGGGGCTGCTTATAGAGGGGCTGGTGTGGATGGCCGCCTCCCACCCACTTCTTCCTTTGCTTTTGTTAATTAACATTCTTAACGTTTGACTGACAGTTGTGTTTTAGAAGTTCCAGATGCAACTTTTGTAAACACGTTATATTCTTGGTGTGAATTATTGCTCTTTTATAAGAAAGAAATCAGTATTCTTCTCAACTAAGAAGAATTCAATTTATTTTATTGGTTACAGGCCTGTAAGGTTTTCACTGTTTTGTATTTTTCTGTTTGTGTCAGAATCCACCAGGGAATATCTCTACAATAAATCTGGGATGTAACTATCCTGTTTTTTCTAAAAGGATATCTCCTTTATGAAAGAATCAAAACATATGGGTATTGTTTATTTATACACTTAGAGGGTGTTTGGGCTTGTGATGTGTGGTGTACCTTTCAGTCATGGCTACAAAATAAAGACTGTAAAGAATAGTGTAACTGTTAAAAAGTGAGTCACTGCTCATCCCAGCAAACTGCTGGCTCAGCCTGGACCAGTCAGTCTCTCCCTTTAGTGCATCCCAAACTCCAGGCTCACATGATTGACTAATACATATTAAATATTTGTCACAGTTTGCTAACTTGGAGATGTAGCACAGTGCTCTGACTGCTTAATTATTCCTCTAATTAAAGTAAACAAAATCTTTAAGCTGAAAATGTATTAATAATCATAAAAAGTGTAAGAAGTATATAAACTTCTACTTGTATAGAATATAGAGTTAATATAGTTTTTGACAGACAAAACATTATTAAAGTACTCATAACACCAGAGAGGGTATTTTACAGACATTAAAAACTTTACATGAACAAACTTCATTCCCAAAGAATCAAATCAAAATCAAGGTCTGGGGAGGTAGCTTAATGATAGACTACTGGCTTAGCACACATGAAGCCTGAGATCTGATTCCCAGTACTATGAATAAAGAAAATAAATTTGAAAAATTAGTATACAGCCCATGTATAATGCCACACACCTATAATCTCAGCACTTTGGGAAATTGAGGCAGGAAGATCTTGAGTTGAAACCCAGCCTGGGCAACTTAGTAAGAACTTGTCTCATAAAAAATTTTAAAAGGAGCATGGGAATGTAGCTTAGTACAAAGGCCTTGAGGTAAATCCTCAGTACCACCACCAAAAAAAAAGGAAAAAAATCAGCATTTACATAATAACAACTTTTACTTACTATGTGCAATAGGTATTGATCATTTTTAAACTACATTAGGTACTGATCATTTTTAAACTGCTCCTGCATTTGTTCCACAAGAATAACAGGTTTGATATTTCAAAAGTAAGATAAGCCCAACTTTTTATTTACACAATTTACTATAATTTCATGTTCTTTTCTGTTTTGTAATAATTTTAGATTTATTTGCAAAAATAGTATTTCAAATTTCCTTTTGCCCTTCATCCAGTTTCCTTTATTGATAGCATCTTACATAACCATAAGATCAAATTGGCTAATTAACCCTGGTCCAATACTAACAGCTAATCTGGGCATCTTACTCAAATGTCAGCACTTTTCTTGCAAATGTTTCTTTTTTGGGTCAAGGAGCCAATCTACGACTCTGTATTCCTTACTTCTTTTCAAAATGTCACCATCTTTCACTGAGCTCTTCCTACCTCCTTTCTTGTTCTTAAAAGAACTTTTTATAAAAACTAACTTTTCTAACATTGGCACACACCCATTAACACAAATTCCAACAATACAGAAAACTACAAAGAACAAGGCAAAAAGTATGTAGTGTCTTACTCCTGAGAAAGAACATGGCATTAACATTTGGTGAAAATTGTCCCTGAGGTCTCACCTTATGTATATGAAGTTAAACATAGATAAGTTGGTAAAATTGGGATGAAATGGAATCAGTTTTCACAATGAAAATGTAAATAAAATGTGTTCAGTGTTATGTTTAAAAATACCAAATGTAAATTCCCTTAGAAGAAAATGAAATTAAAACATGTAGTTGGCCCTCTGTATTCTTTGTGGAGTTAACCATCACTGATCAAAAATATTTTTTTAAAAAACATTGTTTTTACACTGAATGTGTACAGACTTTTGTCATTCCCTAAACAACCCAGTATAACAAATATTTACATAGCATTTTCGTTGTATTAAGCATGATAAGTATTCCAGAGGTAATTTAATGTTTACAGGAAGATGCACAGGTTTTTTTTTTTTTTTTTCTTTTTCCTTTTTTATCGGTACCAGGGATCAAACTCAGGACCGCCTGGTTGCAAGGCAGGCGCTTATGCCGCTGAGCTAAATCCCCAGCTCCTGATGCACAGGTTTTAATTCAAGCCATTTGGTGTGAGAGTCTTAGACATCAAAGAATTAGGTGGTCCTGGAACCTATCCTCTGTGAATACCTAGAGAAAATAATTGGATGTGCTGAAAATCAGGCAACCATTTCATTACAAAAGACATATTATTTTCTAAATTAGTTCTCTAAAGGCAACAAAAGGATTTTGAAAAGCATTGAGATACTTATTGGTAAACTTTTGTTGCCTAATGAATCCTTTGAAGACACTGCGACTGAATGCAAATATCATGGACCACCTCCTATAGGTCCACAGGTCTGTGGGGCGGTTCTGCTGACCTGGCTTGGCCTCATCTTGAGTGAATGAGTCAGAACTTGGGTCAGCTGGAGTCTGTTTGGTTTGGAATCATCTAATTTGCATGTATGGTATGTGGTTATGTCTTGGCAGGGTAATGGGGGCGACCCGGCTAGTGGTCTCGCATGCTTCTGCAGGCTCGCCAGGCTTGTTCAGAGGATGGGAACAGGGCTGTAGGAGGGTGAGCAGCAGTACGTGAGGTTTCTTCAGACAGGGTCAAAGCCTTGCAACATCTCTTCCACCACATGCTGGAGCACATGGCGAGCCGCAAGACCTGTCAGGTTGGTTACCCCTATTATTTTTCCACAAGACCATTCAGGCCTACAATATGCACTGTGTTGATGATTCAAATGTCAAGTTCCCATTATAGCGTTACTCTTTAGTTTAGTTATTTTGGGCTTGTTGGTTTGTTTGTTTGTACCAGAAATCAAACTCAGGACCTTGCACTTGCCACATAGGCACGTGTGCCACTGAGCTATATCCGGGCCCAGCATTACTCTTTTTGTGCTCCACATTTAAGCATTAATTTTGGGGATTGTTTTTCCTATTTCAAAATATATTTTCTGCTCAGCACTCAGGAGGCTGAGGCAGGAAGATCTTTGCAAGTTTGAGACCAGCCTGCGCTACAAAGTGAGCCCAAGACCAGCTTGAACAGCATAGCAAGACCCTGTCTCAAAAGACCAATTATATATATATATATATATATATTCTGTGTTGTGGTATAGTGGTACACACCTTTAATCCTAGCATGCAAAATGGCAGAGGCAAGGGGATTACAAATCTAAATTTGGCCTGGACTACACAGCAAGATCATCTCAAAATAAAATAAAATAAAATAATTTTTCTGGTTTTTTTTTGTTCATTTCTTCTTCACAAACACCAATGGAATAGTTGTTGGATATTCTTTATCACTCATCTATCTTTCAATAATCTTTTTTGCTATTATTTTAGAGATGCTGCTTGACTTGGATAGCGTTACATCCTGATTAACTCATGATAAATTGGAGATATGCTAAGCTGAAATTGCATTTATATGCCTATCTTACTGAGCATCATACTTTAATAATACGGTACAGTATAGAGTTGTTTCCCTTGTGAGTACGTGGCTGACTGAGCTTGATAGCACTTTCTAGAATTGTAAGAGAGAATCACGCAGCAATAGCTAACCCAGGAAAACATCAAAATGCAAAGTACAGTTTTTACTGAATGTGCATTGCTTCCACATCATCATAAAGCTAAAAACTTGTAAGTTGAACAATCCAAAATCCACAGCGTCTGTTCATGCCTACAACATCTCTCCAGATATTTGCAGATCTGACTCATTCTTGTTACATAGGTTTCAGATAAAATGTCATTTGGTTAGAGGTAACTTTTCTGATTACTCTGAAGTTTTCACATCTATCATATAGCCCTATTTTACTTTTATTCATAGAACTATTAAATTTTTTTCTTTTTTGTTTTCTTCACCCATCTCTCCTGTTTACCCTAGACTATAAACTCCACAATCCAGGGAAGGGAAGAATTGTTGTCCAACTAACACACTGCTAAATTCCCTGCATCGAAAACACATTGGCCATATAAAAGGTTCAGTGATTACTCACTCAATTAATTAATTAATTAAAAGCCTGCTCTGTTTTAAATTGGATTTATTCTTACTTTGGTTGTTTCTAGGATGATTTTCTTCTCTCTCATATTTTTCATTTAAATTTGCTCCTACAATTTCTTTGTCTGAACTTTTCTTTCCTCTGTTCCCTGGGATTTATTTTGTAGTTCTTTATTTCTCTTTGTCTTGGATTCTTTTCTTCTTTATTTTCTCCATCAATTCAAAGTAAGTCTATGAGGTGGTTCTTTCTGATTTTTCATCTCATCAACTTGCTGAAAAATACTCTGTAGATGTCATAATCCAATTCTCACAGCAATAACAAAACAATCTGTTACTGGGTAATTTTGAAGGAACAGAATTTTCTTTGTCTTATGCTGCTAAATGTTGGGACATCCAAGAGCGTGACAGTAGCATCTAGTGAGAGCTTTCATGTCCCAGCATGCTATGAGGAAAAGAAAATGGGAAGAAATGAGAAGGAGAGAGAGGGATGAACTCACTCTCATAATAACCCACTTATAATAATTAATCCACCTCCATGATAGCAACCCTAATCCATGCTCTCATGACCTAGTCACCTCCTATTAGACCCTCCCGACACTCGCTCTGGGGATTAAGTTTCCAAAACTCTGGGGAACACATTTCAAACCATAACAGGGGAGGAAGGAGAATCATAGAGGATGTTGGGAAGCTCAGAGTACATCACCTCCTCCAGGACCTCATAGACCTTGAAGTTATTTTCCTTAACCTGGGAATTCGTATCAGTGCTCAATTTTTGTCATTGAAAGGCTGGTAATTTTTTTAAATGCTATTTTCCTCCACTTCATTTACTCACTCGGTCTCTGGTCATCTCCACAGCGAGGAGAATAGGCAGTGGATGAAAATCGTATCCCCTCAGTTCCTCTTCCTTCCTATCAACAGTGTTCTGTGCTGTCAAACTGGGTCACCTCTGAAGAGTCATCCTGTGCTGTGTCGTCTGCAACCCTGGACCTTATATCACTTAAAGAATGATTGGATGAGCAGTTCAGAGTAGTCTCGCTTTCTTCGGGGAAATGTCCATCTTGCTCAAGGTCTGAAGAAATATTAGTTCTTTGTTTTCTTCCTCATTTTGGTCCAGATTTCATAATACTTGGCAGGTTTGCTATATCGTTTGTGGTTTATGATTATAGTCACATCCTTATTTCACTGGCAACTAACAGCTTTTTCCCATTTTTAGTCTGTTTGAAAATTTTGAAGGTTAAGAGAGCAATTAATGCTTTTGTTCTCTTACAATTTTGTTCTAAAAATCTGTAGTTGTAGATCACACGTGCTGTTCACTCATCAAGTGTAGGACTTAGAACTCAACTCTTACAAAGTTTGTTTTTAAAAAAATTTTGCATGACCTTGCATGCATCACTTTTCCACTCCCGTGCCCTAGTGTCACGTTTCTAGGGCTGTGTTTTTGTTTGACTCCTGGTGTAGCCTCAATATTGTATTCTTTCTTGGTAACTAGAACTTTCCTAGTCCTTCATCATCTTCACTTTCGTAAGTTAAACTCCAGAGCTGCCAAGCCTTAAACTAGCAGTCAGTTGACAATCACCACTACCACCACCACGGTAATCACACCTACCACTGCTCCTCCTTACCGAATATTTACTTTATGCTAGTAATGCTACTAAAATGTGTCTGTCCATTTCCTCATGAAACCCTACCAGTACCCTAACTAAATTAATATAATTGCCTCCAATTTAAACGTAGGGATATCAAAAGTAACAATCACCTAAAATTGGCTCCAGTGTTATGCTCAGAGATGACACAATGTTCGTTCAATAAAATACTTTGGAAGATATGGTTGGTGTGGTTGACATTTTGTGATGTTGAAGGCAGAAATAGGGACAAGAGAAAAAGCAGAGTTATTGTTTCACTGCTAGCAAGAAAATATGAGAAAAATGAAGAGAAGGAGCCAGTAAATTAGAGACCAGGCCTTAGAGGTAATATATTTCCCAGCACAGCTCTTTGAAGCTTCATCCCCATCTCTCCTGTACGGCAAGCTGTCTTCCCCTCAAAGGACACCCCCAACCTTCAGTTCAGCTGTTGTATTCAGAACAGGGTTTTCTGTGGTTCTTCTAAAAGGGCCGAGATTTCCTTTCTTGGTCAAATTCACACGTGACAAAATTCTATAGATGAGCTCAGAGGCTTAAGAAGGAGACAGCACATCAGGACAGAAACTCTCAAAAATTAGAAAATCTTTGAGTGGGGAGGGCTTTGGCCTTTATTGGCTACCGCAGGGACTGAGGTTGTATTAAGTTTTTTTTCTGTCTTACTACAGAGGCCATAATTAACATCTGGCTTTCATGTAGGAAGGAAAAGTGAGACTCGGAGAAAGTAAACAACTTACCTTTAGACATTTAACAGAAGGAACAACTTCTTGCTATTTAGCAACCGTGACAAGGATAAGGATATTTCTTCTCACTATAGATAGGAATATTTCCTTTCACTATGATTTCAATCCGACATGTGCGCCCTCTCCCTAGATAGAAGTATTGCCAGATCCTCGTCCTGTAGAATTCTCTACCTAGTGTCTTCCCACAAGCTTTCTCTCACCTCCTATCTAATGCAATCTTCATGATTCATTACTGACAGTCTCTGTCTACTCACCAAAAGTTTTCTGAAGAATAGCATTTATTAGGGGCAGGTATATCACACACTCACATTTTAGTCTAGCTCCTCTAATAGACACGAGCTTTGTAGAAAAAAGATTTTGTCTTAACACTGTATGTTACTGAGTTCAGCATTTAGATTACTCAGAGAAGATTTAATAAATATACCCAGTATTTACTGTGAGCTCTTTCTCTTGTGTTTATAATTTCCAACTGAGCAAATGCAATGCAGCCCACTAGTCTCTAAGCCAGTCATGAAGACTGCCTATTTCCTTCAGAACTAAGCCAATGATGTGTTATGGCCATTCTCACAAATACCTGCATCTACTTCTTGGTTTATTTTGAAGAGAACATTAGTGGAATCTGGCTAAGAATCTCCAATACATCACGTAGATACTAGTTATCTCTGAAGTGAACTTTTACCCTACAGTCAAGCTCAGAGCTGCTGAGCTGGCCTTGTAAGGGTTCATACTTCAGGGTTAAAGATGTAGCAACTAAGCACACAGTGGTATAGGGAAGTGGTTAAGAACGAGGTCTCTGGATGCCAACTGTGTTAGGTCCGAGCTCTGTGATCTTGGCAATAATAGCAGCTTCCACACAGGGCATTTGTGAAGAAAACCTTGTCAAGATCACATGCAGAGCAATAGGACAAAGGCAGAAAGAAGACCTATGTGGAATACACATACTGTCTTAGTCACTTTTGTTGTTGCTAAGACAAATTACCTGACACCAAAAGTTAAAGTAGGAAAGGTTTATTTAGCTCATAGTTCACAGAGGTTTGAGTCTATAATCAGCTGGTTCCAAGGCAGCAGGGCATGGCAGACGGGAATCTCAGAGGAGAAACAGTGCTCCTCTGAAGAAGAGGACCATGAAAAAAGTAGCAAAGAGCGGAGAATGACCACAGCTCTTTCTATCCCTTTTGTCTTTTCCAATCTACCGAGGGCAGGTCAGACTCATACCCTTAATCCTAAGGCTCTGAATCTGAGCATTGCACCATGAATAAATTCTAGAGATCCTATCACCTGTGAAAGAGGCCCACCTATGACTGCATAGGAGGATTCAAAGGGACATCTAAACATAAACGAGAACATATGCTAAATGTAAATCAGAGAACACTTTCTGGTAGAGGGGACTCTTGGCCAGAGGTCTAAAGAAAATTATAGCACGAATTGAAGGAACAGAGTACAATCTCAAGGAAAGGAGTTCAGATTAGAAACAAAGCCATTGGTGGACTTTAGAAAGGACACTGGGGTGCACATGGGTAGTTATTGACAATAGTGCAAATCTGCTACTGAGACAGGCTGTGAAATAACAGACTTAAAACTCATGTTTTCTAAAACATTTGGCAGTGCAAAATAATCTCTTAGAAAGCTCCTGAGATATTTCTTACTTGCCCTGTTTAACAAAACAGAGTTGGTTCTGTTCCACATATAATTTTTGATCAGTGCCACTTCCAAGAAAAAAGGAAATTAGATTAACAATGGAAACTCAAACACTTACTTTAACATCTAAGCTCTTCTCCCTGAAAGCCTTAGACTAAAATCCCTAAAGATGATCCCAGTCAGCTTTGTGCATATCTGAAACAGTGAAGAAATGTCTTAAAGTCCACCAAGGACTGAGTGATAGACCAGACAGGAAACTTTATATGCAAGGAAGAAATCTGACTTGCACATGTTGAAAGGGTAAGATATTTTAGCCCAGAATAGAAGTGGCTGGTTCACTCTGTGAGATCTGCTATTGCATCCTCCCTTACACATATGAGGCCATAAATCCACACTGTAGGAGAAAGTTTAGCCCTGTGGTTTAATCATTATGAAACTTCCTGTGTAGAAATCAAATGCCTGTTTCTAAATTCTTCATTCCTGTGTTCTGGGCAACAGGTCAGAGCCAACCAGTCGTAGAAGCTATGAGTCGGTCCTCACAAGGCTGCTCTCCATCCCTTGGATGGCGTAGGTCATCTAAAGGAAAGGAGGGACTGCACTTCTGGCCAGGTTCGCTTTTTGATATCTCTCTCTTGTGTGAAGCAGCAGCTGCAATGCTAGATACACACATGAAGTGAGCCTTGACCTTCATCGTTGTCTCTGAGCTCCATCCACACCAACTCTGAGGAGCTGTGAGAACTGCTCGAGTCTTTGAGACCATTCAGCATTTCTCAAACCTTCAATTCATTGTCTTGTCAAGAGCATCTGATTGTCTGTGGAATAGGTTGTTCAGTTATGAGAATTTTGTAATAAGCCATGCCCAAAGAATTCTTTGGAAGAATAGCCATAAAAATAAAAATTCTACTTTTGAAAAAGGCAACAATTATAACAGAAACAAAAACATAAATTAAGCCAATAAAACACATCTATTGGACATGACTAGGGCAAGAAAGAGGGCTTTTTTACATGCCGAACTGAGATGTTCTATCACGTTTTAGAGAAATCATGTTTATAGTAGATATAAATTAAATTAATTGAAGCCATAAAATTGAACAGCTGTTCTTCATCTTCACTGATGAAAGCACAAGAAAAAAAGGGTGCTCGGAGGTAATGAAGACTTGGCGGGGAGACGTATGCTGACACTAACAGGGATGAGAAGAAAATGCAGGAGTGCTGAGAGGCCATCTCCTCAGACACACACTTACAGAGCGTAGGCTAAATGAATTTTACATGCCTCTCAGAGTACTCTGTACTTCACCCATGTTTTACAAGCCCCCCGTATCTCTGCATTCAATAACTTCTCTACTCTGAGTCTATGGAGCGCCTTACAAAACATGTACAAGACAAACACAAAGCTGAGATAATTGTGAAAACCAATTAGCAACTGTCAATCCAGTGTAAAAATGAGCCTCTATGCCTACACCATTCTAATTTTATTTAAAGCCAAGGACTTAAGTGATTAAGAAATATCTGAGTTAACAACTGAGTTAACCAGCCCCTGAAGTGCTGGGTCATCTTGGCTGGGTTGCAACTCTTGCCTCCCCTAACTGCTGCATGTGTGAGGGTGTCAGAGTGCGTGCCTTTCTCAGCCACCCCGAAGTGCCACCAACTGCTCCACTCCCCTGGATCTGGAAGTAGAGACAACAAGGAGAAAAAGGACATGATATCTGAAATTATGGTGGGAATTTAGTGTCTCTGTATAAAATATATTGAGTTCTGTGTTTCTAGTAAATTTTGATGATCAGAATGACTTATTCATTTCTGATTTTTGGTGAATTCAAATAAACTATATTGGAAAATGTAACAGAGATGATAATTCTGAAAACTTACCAAAGCGTCATCAACTAACAAATTGTCTGCAGGATTTGATTGTTTTATTGATTAGTGCTTTTAACACAAATGTTTTTAAATTGTGTATGTATGTGTGTACAAGTATATATGTCTAGTAATATACAAAAGGATTATGCATATGTCCAAGTGGGATTTACCCCCATGAATTGAAGTGTCTCCGCATACAAAAATTAAACTATGTGATGTCCTATATCAGACAA